GCCTCCCTCCGGCCGCCGTTGGCTGGCGCGCCGGGCGGGGAGTGGCGGGGCGGGCGGCGGCGGCCGTCAAGAGCCCCCGCGGCGGGCATGGCCGGGAGCGCGGCGGCGGCGGCGGCGGGGCTGGCAGGCCGGCCATGGCGAGGGGCGAGAGCGCCGAGGGCGGCTGCGGGCAGCGCTACGGGACGGCGGCCGGGCTGGCCGTGGGGGGCCTGCTGTGCCTGGGCCTCGGGCTGGTGCTGCTGCTGACCGTGCCCGGCCTCTTGCGGCAGCAGGTGATGAAGGTAAGGGGGCTCAGCCCCTCCCCTCCCCTCGCCCAGGTAGACGGGCTCGCTGCTCCCGAGGCTTTGCGGGAGGCGTCCGAGTCGGAGCTGCGCTTCCTTCCCTTGCCGGGTCGGGAAAAAAAAATAATAACTTTAATTTAAAAAAAAGAATAATTGGGGTTGAAGGGCTGCAAACTTTTTTCTTTCTTTCCGTCTTTCTTTCTTTTTCTTTCCTTCTTTCCTTTTCTTTTCTTTTCTTTTTTTTTCTTTCCTTACCTTTTCTTTCTTTCTTTCCTTCTTTCCTTCTTTCCTTCCTTCCTTCCTTCCTTCCTTCCTTCCTTCCTTCCTTCTTTCTTTCTTTCTTTCCTTCCTTCCTTCCTTCCTTCCTTCTTTCCTTCCTTCCTTTCTTCTTTCCTTCCTTCCTTCTTTCCTTCCTTCTTTCTTTCCTTCTTTCTTTCTTTCCTTCCTTCCTTCTTTCCTTCCTTCTTTCCTTCTTTCTTTCCTTCCTCAGGGGAGCCAATCCTAGTTTACACAATGCGTTCATCCATTCCTTTTCATGGGAAAAACAGGTTTATCTCTTGCGTTTTTCTCCTTTCTTCATCATCTGCCTGCTCCCTGGTTAATCTTTGGACTGCAGGTAGTCCTCGACCTTACGACCACAATTTGAACCACAGTCTCCATTGCTTCTTTCCTTCCTTTCCATCTCTCTTTCTTTTTCCTTCCTTCTTCCCTTCCTTCCTTTCCTTCCTTCCTTTTTTCCTTCCTTCCTTCCTTCCTTCCTTCCTTCTTTCTTTCCTTCTTTCTTTCTTTCTTTCTTTCTTTCCTTCCCTTCCTTCCTTCCTTCTTTCTTTCCTTCCTTCTTTCCTTCTTTCCTTTCCTTTCCTTTTCTTTCTTTTTTTCCTTCTTTCCTTTTTCCTTCTTCTTTCCTTCCTTCTTTCCTTCTTTCTTTTTCTCTCTGCTCTCTTTCTCCAGGTCCTTTAGTCCAGGTTCTCTTCCTGCCACTCCGGCGAGGTAGGCTAGGAACTCTCCTTTGCCATCCGAATTTGGTTTATCCTTGGCCAAATGTTTGCTTTTCTGTGTTTGCAAAGATGGGTAAATATTCTGGTCTTGGCCGCTGCTAAAACTTCTTTCTGTCTTGTCGCTCTTCTCCTTTCCCAAATCCAGGGGTTTCTTTTTTAAAAAACAAGTTGGCTCAGCGTCTGGACGCTTCAAAAAGAGGCAACACACCCACAAAAACACAGAGACATGCAGACAGAGACACGTAGATGCTCACCACACCTTTTCCCCACTTAGAACTTGTGGTGCTAAGGTGCTAAAAAATATTATTTTATACAATTGTGCCTTTTTAAGCTCTTTTCTGGGCCTTTGGTGTGTATTCCCGTGGTTGAGCATGCCTGAGATCTGTTTTATAACAACGACAAATCAGAATAGAGTTGGAAGGGCCCTTGGAGGTCTTCTAGTCCAAACCCCTGCTCAAGCAGGAGATCCTATACCATTTTAGATAGGTGGCTGTCCAGTCATTTCTTAAAAACCTCCAGTGATGGAGAACTCACGATTTCTGGTGGCAAGCTGTTCCACTGGTTAATTGTTCTCAATCAGAATAGAGCTGGAAGGGACCTTGGAGGTCTTCTAGTCCAGCCCCCTGCTCAAGCAGGAGAACCTATACCGTTTCAGACAAGTGACTGTCTAGCCTCTTCTTAAAGACCTCCAGTGATGGAGCACCCACGATTTCTGGTGGTAAGCTGTTCCACTGGTTAACTGTCCTCACTGTCAAGAAGTTTCTCCTTAATTCCAGATTGCTTCTCTCCTTGATCAGTTTCCAACCGTTGTTTCTTGTCCTGCCTTTCAGATGCTTTGGAGAATAATTTGGTCCCCACTCCTTTGTGGCAGCCCCTCAGATACTGGAATGCTGCTATCATGTCCCCCCTAGTCCTTCTTTTATCTAGACAGGCCATACCCAATTATTTTATGCATAAGGACTGCAGGTGGACATTAAAAAAAAACTTTGCAATTTTAGTGCTGAATTTTAGGGACTGGGTATATCCATCGCTTGTTCTATTGCAGATTATTCCTCAAGGTTTGCCAAACAGGACCACAATTAGGCATCCGTGCAGGTGCAATTTTCAGCCTACAATAGGAAGGAAGCTTCCTATATTGGGACTGGAATTTCCATTGCTAAGCAAGGCAAGTTGTTAAGCGTGTCGCACCCCAAATTTACCACCTCTTTGCCATGATGGTTGCTCGGTGAATCCCTGAAGTTAAGGCGGACTTTGTTTTGCCAACAGATTGGCAAACTTAATAATAATAATAAAGTTGGAAGGGACCTTGGAGGTCATCGAGTCCAACCCCCTGCTCAGGCAGGAACCCTACACCATTTCAGACAAACGGCTGTCCAGTCTCTTCTTAAAAACTTCCAGTGTTGGAGCATTCACCGCTTCTGGAGGCAGGTTGTTCCACTGGTTAATTGTTCTAACTGTCAGGAAGTTTCTCCTTAGTTCTAGGTTGCTTCTCTCCTTGGTTAGTTTCCATCCGTTGCTTCTTCTCCTGCCTTCAGGGGCTTTGGAGGATAGCTTGACTCCCTCTTCTTTGTGGCAGCCCCTGAGATACTGGAAGGCTGCTATCATGTCCCCCCTCGTCCTTCTCTTCGTTAAACTAGATATACCCAATTCCAGCAACCGTTCCTTATATGTTTTAGCCTCCAGTCCCCTAATCATCTTTGTTGCTCTTCTCTGAACTGTGCTGGAAACACAATATCTGGGTTGTTTACAGTGTTTTTGTTCTTTTGCTGGCGCAACCAAAAAGCAAAAAGGACTTCAAGAGAGAGGAAGGAAATTTGGCTCCCGGCATTTCAAAGGCTTCTAAACTAAGCGGATTGTGTGTGTGTGTGTGTGTGTGTGTCTTGTCTGTGTTGGATATTGTAGGTTACAGAAGGATTTAACGTTCACCAGATTTAGTCTGCGGCATACGAAAGGTTGAATAAGCAGTGTTTCTCAACCTTGACAATTTTAAGGCATGTGGACTTCAACTCCCAGAATTCCACAGCCAGCATTGCTGGCTGTGGAATTCTGGGAGTTGAAGTCCACATGCCTTAAAATTGTCAAGGTTGAGAAACACTGGAATAGAGCAAAGCAGGAGGACAAACACACTGGTGAGGCTCTTGTGTTTTAATATTTATGCAATCGTCCTCTTAAATGTGCAAAACCTGAAGCATCCCAATTGGCAATACACGATCGGGAACAAAATAAAGTTTAATTAAAACTCTTCGAACTTCACCCTCCTCCTTGGAATTTCCTTTCCCTGTCTTGGCTAGGTACATGATTCTTAACACCTGCAAACATTCGGGTTTACGCTACCTGGGGTGATTGACTAATTTACCGATGTTCAAAGTACATTTTGAAGAAACGTTCACAATAAACCAAGCCTTTTTCCTTCTTCCTCTGCAGGCATTTTGGGAACGTTTTCTCCCTGCAGTTGGAAAAGTTATTTTTTTTAACCTTGGAGCCCAGAGTTTTTAAACAGCAGTCAAGGTCTTTGTCGTTCTAGTCCTTGTCAACAAAGCTAGACTCGTTGCACAGACTTTGTCCGGTGCTTATCACATGGGGATGTTCTTTTGATTGAAAAGAACACATACGCACAAAGGCCAGGAGGAGGTTGACCTCAGTGGGTTGCAGCAGTTTTGCAGAAATCACCCCTTTGAGGAAAGTCCTGGAAAAGTCATCACAGGATTACCTGGAACTCTTGTTGCAGGTTATCATAACAGAATCTTGAAAGGTGGCCAGGATTTCTGTCTGCTTGCTCTCACACCAAAGAAGATCAAGGTGGTTAGTCTTGAGTTTCTTCCTCACCCGGCCTTCCTAAGCTGCTGTTTATCTAACAATGGTTTCTCTCGTGGTCATCCCCATGTTCCTCTTCACTTTGGACTCAATTCTTCCGCCTCCTTTGGCTGATGTCTGGGGCATTAATAATAATAATAATAATAATAATAATAATAATAATAATAATAATGATAATGATGATGATAATAATGATAATAATAATAATAATAATAATAATAATAATAATAATAATAATAATAATAATAATAATAATATAAAGTTGGAAGGGACCTTGGAGGTCATCGAGTCCAACCCCCTGCTCAGGCAGGAAACCCTATACCATTTCAGACAAATGGCTGTCCAGTCTTTTCTTAAAAACTTCCAGTGTTGGAGCATTCACCGCTTCTGGAGGCAGGTTGTTCCACTGGTTAATTGTTCTAACTGTCAGGAAGTTTCTCCTTAGTTCCAGGTTGCTTCTCTCCTTGATTAGTTTCCATCCGTTTCTTCTCGTCCTGTCTTCAGGCGCCTTGGAAAATAGCTTGACTCCCTCTTCATTGGGACAGCCCCTGAGATACTGGAACACTGCTATCCTGTCCCCCCTCGTCCTTCTCTTCGTTAAACTAGACATCCCCAATTCCAGCAACCGTTCCTTATATGTTTTAGCCTCCAGTCCCCTGATCATCTTTGTTGCTCTTCTCTGTACACTTTCTAGAGTCTCAGCATCTTTTTTACATCGTGGTGACCAAAACTGGATGCAGTATTCCAAGTGTGGACTTACGAAGGCCACACATTGTCTGGATGGGATCAGTTCCTTAGGTGAAAAAGTCCCCCCCCACACACAAAATAGCTAATTCTGCAATCCTCTCTTTGGCGATGAGGCAATCCCAGATACTTGGGTGGGGGTGGGGGCAGAATCAGAATTTTTTTCCTTCCCAGAAATGGGTGGGCTCCAGTTTGCCAGCCATCCCCTTTAACCCGAATTTTGGGAGTCAGATTCTTATTTGGAAAGGAGAGCATGAAGCCCTGTGAACAACACAAGATCCAGATTGTCAACATTGAACCAACATGATATAATTTAGAAAGAGAGGGAAAACAAATAAAACAAAAAAAAAGTGGAGTGAGCTTTCCAAAACTGAATTTGTAAAGAAAGATAGGGTGGGGGGGAAACAACCACTTAATTCTATCAGTTTTCCTGCAGTCTTTATT